CAGAAGTGATACTGGAGTATGACGTAAATCTCGGTGTATGTCTTTCAAGAGCAGGTCAAGCACAGCTCCAATTTTGTGAGTCGGTTCCCTCACCAGCTGGGAGAGATTTCGGTGTAGACAGCAGCGTAAGAAGGTGTTCTCGTGACAATTCTGGCTTTCGTAATTCTGGCTTCTGAGAGTGAACCGATGAGTCGCCCCATGAAGAGATCCTCCCGATGACAGCCTAAATCCGTTGACACGCGCACTCGCTGAGCTTGAAGGTACTTCGTTGTGCCGCTTCTGTCGCCAGGAGCTCCCTGCGAAGGGTCTCATCTATCGTCGATAAGCTCGATTCGCCTCAAGTCAGGAGTCAGGAGAACTACTAGGTTTTCTGGGAAACCTTCGTTGTTCACCCCAGCAAATCATAATCATGATCGAAGCCCGACTCGATCTCGATTTTGGCAGTTTTCATCGAATAATCAGAAGCCCTTAGGTTCTCGCTCTTATATGTCTGCTGCCGTCTGTCGGGCTCTCACTCGCCGACCTCGCCTTATAGAATTCCTTTCGAAAGACTGACGGACTATGCCATAATTCGCGCTTATTTTTACGCTTTCGTGCCGAATCCAGGGGTATGTGAAAAATCGACTGTAGGAATCGAATGATAGATCTGCCTCGCGAACGATTGCACCTGGAGACTTTGCCGTAAATTAACGACCCAGTGATGCAGTTCGGATAATCCGTAACTCCGCAGTTTCTGAATTTTAGGGCTCCAAAAGCGGACAAGATTTCGATGCTTGAAGGACGGAGTACATCGAATTGGTCTGCAAAGCCTGTGACAAAGACGTTTTCACGTCAAAAATCGATATTTTGCAAGGATCAGTGCAATGGTCTCATCACGATGGCCCAGAATGGATCTATCGATGATGGCTGCTGTCAACATGCATATACTCGGGAGCCATAAAGAGACTCAATTTCCCGAAAACAAGATTCGGCTGCTCGGGCATCCCCTTGAATATAGGAAAGATCAGAGCGCAAAGATCACGCATTTCAATGATAGGGTGAAGAAACGTATCAAACAGAGGTCGAGCGAGACTTGGTCGGAATCCATGAGATCCAAATCAAGCCTGAAGTTCTTCAAAGAATGGAAGGTGAGAGGGTTCACTCTCAGGAGCCAGAATTGCGAAAGCCAGAATTTCGAAAGCCCGAGCTCTGGAAGCCAGAATCTTAAAATCCAGAACTTGCGAAAGCCAGAATTGCGGAAGCCAGACTTTGTGAAATCCAGGTGTTGTGGATGCCAGAATTTCGAAAGCCAGATGTTGTGAAAGCCCGAATTTCCGAAGCCAGAACTGTGGAAGCCCGAATCACGGGAGCCAGAATCGTGGTAGCCAGGATCTGAAAACCTATGCCGAGGTGCTCAATGACTCAATTACGGTACGGGGGTCAAGTCTCACGTGCGCGAATCCGGACACGAACAGATAGGAGCGGAAGGAAGAATGCGGCACTATAGGGAAAAAGGAGACTGACTGGAGAGTCTCGATTTCGACGCTATTTAGGCGCGATATGTCGTGGGTTCCGAACTGTCAGCTTGGAGACAAAACACACAAGCATCACAGAAGAACTTTCATTATCCCTTGTCTAGTCTGGAGGCTCACAGCTATACATATTTTCACCACCACAGCTTGTCAACACAATACGATGGTTGCAATCAGCTGCTGCGATGACTCCCAACTAGACGTATCGGTCTCTTCACCGGACATCCCAAGATAGCGCAGCGATCCCTGTCGACGGAGCGTGATGTGATCAGGTCCATTCTGGCTCTCACAATTCTTGCTCCCGCGATTCGGGCTTCCGCAACATCTGGCTTTCGAAATTCTGGCTTCCACAACTTCCGGCTTTCGACTGCGCGAGTCGCCATTCACCGTGTATGCGGTCCTTCCGGGCGATTATTGCCCATGCGAGGCCCGTGAGATGTTGCCATACCAAGGGTATACCGTAACAGGCTGTGGGCTCGATTCTGAGGTCGAAAAGCGCAGCAGCCGTGCTCACTGAGAGTTTATGAGGGTTCTTGATGCTCTGAAAGGCCAGGAAACCCTTCCGGATTCTTTCCTCAAGATGCTGAGTGAAGGAAATTCCCGACGATGAGAAAATTATTCCCAGGTATGGGAAGTGGTTGACCATTTCCAGAGGTTCAGAATTCAGATTGAACCAGTCGCTGCTCGAGAGCCTACCTCCTCGGCGAAACTTCATAGCTTTGGTCTTCGCCACATTGATCACGAGATCGTTACATTTGACGAATGCGGACAGCGTTGCGAGCGCACTCTGTAGGTGGACTCGGCTATTAGAATATAGGACGAGGTCGTCGGCATACATCAGGAGTTTCACTTGAGTGTGGCGCTCCTGGATTACCCTGGGCAAATCACTGACTAGGACGGAGAACAGCAGAGGGCTGAGACTGTCGTCCTGAGCGACTCCCGTTGTTTGCGAAATCGGCTCGAGCTCGGCCACTCCGTCGTCTATAATGACGGTGCCCTCCTGTAGCACAGCGAGCAGGAGATCTAGGATCAGCTGAGGAGTGCCCGCAACGGCTGGCTTTTCTAGGATGAGGGTTCTGGAAGCCGTGTCGAATGCAGCCTTGAAGTCCACGAATACGGCGAATAGAGGAAACTTTCTGCGTTTGAGGTTCCTCTGGATGCGATTGAGGAGGACCGATGCTGCACTGTATGTGCATCGGTGTCTTCTGAAGCCATGCTGCTCTTCTGGGAGGATGTTCTCGCTTTCCGGGAAATCTTCCAGTCGGCGTGAATGGATACCTGACATCAGCTTGTAGATAACATCCTTCTAGGCTATTCTGCGATAAGAGCTGGGAGCCAATGGGTCGCCTTTGCCCTTCGGAATGACGCTGAGGAGACTCTCCTTCCACTTCGTTGGAAGCTGCGATGTCGCAAGGATCCTGTTGAAGAGAGCTGAGAGACGGGGGCGAGCACCAGCACCTGGTGCAGGTGCCCGTTACGAAGGAGGTCGGAGGAGGTCGGGTCCTGCTGCTTTTCTCAGTGGAGCTGTCCACATTGCCCGCGCAAGTACCTCTGACGAGAACTGCTGTTGTATGATTTGGCGCGAGTGGGTCGTCGTACTCGGCCATGTCGCGTGGTACATCGGTGTCGCTAGCGGTGTGGTCCTAGCGCTCGCAAACATTTCCCGAAAGCATTGGTTTAGCTGTCCGGGCGGAATCGGAAGTCGGACCTCCACCATTTGTAAGGGCTGAGCTGAGCCTCCTTGATGAGCATGGCTTCAGCCCTGTCAGCGAAGATACGCTTGGCCTCACTGATTGCGCGTTTGTACGACTTGCTGGCTGCGAGGTAGGTCGGAGTCATGTATTCGTGCTGCTTGGCCAAGATATACATGTGATTGTTTCAAGTACGATTTCGCTCGGCGGAATTGGAACGAGAACCATGTTGGGCCGCCCTTGGGACTCGTGACCGCAGTGCTGAGTCTAATCGCGTCTACGATCTGTGTGTAGTAATGCTCAACCTCAAAGCTGGGCGGAACCGGAAGGATGGAAGTGGAGCATTTCAAGAGCTTATCGATGTCGATTTTTGTGCTCAATTGTTGACGCCTTGGCGGCAGTTTTCCTTGGGTTCGGACGATGACCTGTAGGGCTACAGGTACATAGATGCCATCTGGTTCCAAACGCTCTCAGATGTTCTTGCGGACCGAGGTATTTCGCCTGATTCTGAGGAAGATTGGTGAAGAAGAGATCGATTGTCGACTTCCCTTGCGGTCCAACAAAAGTGTGCTCGGAGCTCGACGAGGCGATCCATAGAACACCTAGTTGAAGTGATTTAACAAGTTGTTGTGTGTTTTTCATAGAACGTTTGTCGATTGGGCAATTGAGATCTCCGCAGACACCCGTGGGTTTGGCTAGATCAACGGAGTCGATAGGGAGAATTAATTTTTGAGAAGGGAGGCGATTTTCTCTGCTGGAGAGGAGTAGATTGCAACAAGGTTGATCATTTTCCCGGCGAGAACTACGCAATTGTCTTCGATCAGGAGGGTCTCGACTTCTCCTAACTCATTGTTGTACAGAACGGCGACGCCACCACTCGGTCGACCGCGTACCGAGGGGCGAGCGGCCAGACATTCGGCAGCGTAGGAGCCGGTGACGGACGTAGACTCCGTAGCCCAGGTCTCCGTCAGTATAATTATATGGAAGTTCCGTGTGTCGTCAGGCTGCGGGAGTACACACGCAGACTTGATGCCCTCACAGTTCCATAGCAAGTTCAGGCACTTCAATTCCACCGGTGCATTTTCCCTCTTTTCCACCGATGACCGCACGGAGGAAATGCCGAGGGAGAATTCGGGAGCGTCATCACTCCTGGGGGATTCGCAAGTGCCGCGAAAGGATCCCCCTTCAGGAATGGGCTTATGTATGGGAACCCCGCATGGGGAGGAATCTTCGGCCACTGGTTTGGCCTTTCCTTGCGCTGGCGCCCGCGGCTCATGTGGGCGGTTTCTGCTTCAAGATTGGCTGAGGGGGATTCCAAACACTTAGCACTTTTATCTCTGCAGAGAGACTCTGGAAAGAGGGAGTTGTTTTTGCTCCGGACGGTTACTTTTTTCTTCCGATTTGTGCTGACGCTCGAGTTCCCGTGGAATCAATTCAGGATGGAGCAAACACCGAATCGTGAGTGAGATTGAGTCTGAAACTTCACGTTCAGCGTTTCATTCGGCGAGAATATGCAAATTAGAAGTTTTTCTTAGTGCATCCTTTTTTGCGAAAAAAGACTGATTTTCATGACCGTTAAAAAAGTATGTGGACCACGGCGGACCGGGCGGCTCATGGGGTGGAAGATCTTCTATCACCCCCCTCCTCCTATTTCCGAAAAAAAAAACCCGCCAGGTAGTGTCGAGGCCACTACCGCACTCATTGCGTGAAAACGTCACCTCCAACCTCTGCTCAGTATCTCTGTCTATTTCACTGACAAAAAGATTAGTTTTATTAAGGTGTGAGATCGAGCTGAGATTCAGATTATAAGCTCACTATACTCGGCTGCGTCGCCTTCTTCTTTATACCACTTCAAGAGACTTTCGATCAGTGGGCTCTCGTTATCGTCAGCTTTCTCGACAACAGTGTTCGAAATCGTGGACAGCTCTCGTTTTCCATTGTATTCCCGAAGTGCTGCGTTCCTTATGAAAACCACGGTATCTTCTTTTTCATTCAGCGCATGTGCTTGATCTGACCACAGATTTATGGTGACGATGCGTCTGGTATCGTCGACCAATCGAGCGCTCCGTTTCGTTCTGACCTTCCCGTCCCGGCAGCTATAGGTTTGAAGCTCTCCTACATCGTAAACGACGCAATACAGACTGACCGTTCTCGAGATGTCCGTAGTTAGTAACTCCGCTATAGAAGTACGAGTCACCTAGATGTCAAAAACAACTTTCTTTGAATCGACGCTCTCGTTTGGAATTCGCGGCCACTCAAAATCGCTCGGTTGCAATTGATGTGAAAGCATTCAGAGCTCTCTGCCTATTCTTCCCCTGCCGGCTCTATTTGCCTCCTTCTCCCGCAATCTCAGCTCCTCCGCTTGCCTCACTCTGTAACTCGCTCGAAATGGAATTTATTTCTCATCAGAACTCTCATTAGATTCTTTGGGCTCCCTCCTTTCGTCATCGTCTGACGCTTCCCCGAGACCCGGAATGAGGAACTTCCATTTCCACTACTCCCGGATGCAAAGACACCGGATCTTCGATGAACGTCAGTCCTCTACAAAGCACACAGCGATCGCATCGTACAAAGTTGTTCCAAACATCTTTTTTAAATGTAGCTGCTTCAATCGGTCCTTATCATCACGAGATCAACGCCCGCAAGAATGAGCTTCCGATGTCTTTTTCGATTCTGCGTCGGATTAAATCTTTTCATTCCTGAACGCCTTCCCACTCCGACGGGGACGACGGTCATGGTTTTCAACTCGGGGTGACTGCACACGGCTTCCTTCATAAGTAGTGGATTGATCCGTAGACTTTTTTTCTGCCAGAAATATAGGAGGCAGATACGATACTGCCACTCGAAACTTTCCCAGTTTGGGGTTGTCGTCTCAGAACAGTCACTGCTACTCAAGCTTTCCATTGCTACACGGGAGATGAACGATTGAATAAGTCGACCTGGCTATAGCACGATCTTCGTTATCTCGTAGGAGCTTTGGTCGGAGAACTTTCAAGTAGAGATAAGACGGACGCCTTTCCCTTTTTCCACTGAAACAATTTACACCCAATTTCTAAGCAAAGCTTGGATAGGCTCCGACACTACCAAGTCGAGTAAACGATCAGAATTCGACCGCGGCTTTGCTACCGTCTCACAATTCGTGGATTTCGGCCCGAGATTCTCGGATTTCTCATTTGTACCGCTCTTTGAGCTCCAGGTTTTGCCTTCCACGGGCTAAGCTCATCTGATACATGACCTTTGGCAACAAAATGACCATTAAAGTCTGTTTGTTGAAGAATAAACTAATCATTTATGCGCTCTCATCGACGCTGTCGGGGGTACCGAGATTCATCTTCGAAAACAGCGAACACCTACGCCGATTGCTACCGAAGGTGACCTGCGGCTTCTCCCGTAAATTTGCCATTCACCTACGCAAACTTCCACTCGATTCTTCGACTGGACGTTGAGTTATTAGGTCGGAAAGTGCCTCAAATTTCGTTTCACGAAGGACGAAGTACCTTGATTCTACCCACTCAGCCGAGCTTAAAGACGTTTTTACGTCAAGAATTTGCGGGTGCCCTGCGTGTTCAGTTCGGACTGAAGAAGGAGACTCGTAGGACTGCGTCAGGGGCTTTTATTTATTCATGTATGCAGAGAAAATTTGGGTAGTGATTACTGAAATATGTGTGATTCATTGGAATTTCGTGTTTGTTGATTGCGAAGTCAGCATGGAGCAAGCCTGCATCCGTCGCAAGGCTCGGAAATCGAGCACCACGCGTGCTCGTACCTGTACTGGCTCTCTCGACCACCCTGTTGAAAAGGGCGCGGGTATAGGGCCCCGACGTGAGTAATTGACCGAATGGCAGTACATATTCCGAAGTAGTTATGTGTTCTTGTTGGAGCGTCTGCTGCGTTTCTCTGAACGGATTGACCTATGGCGGTAGCGGTCTGTGATACTCTTCTGGATAGGTTTTCCTGATTGCTGGGCGGATCTTAGTAGTTCCGATATCCGTTGCATTTGTTTGCATTTTGCAGTGCCCCTATATCTGTGCGACCTAGGACGCAGTCCTACGTCAAAAAAACCAGCAAGTGAATGCGTGCTGTTTTCCGATATTCGAGTTTTGGTGCCCCGGAGGACATTTGCGGAGACAATCTTCAACTCCCGGAAGAACGAGTGCATCGATGGGCTGGAGAAACTCATCCTGAGTCATGCTCATGTTAAAATTGAGCAACTAAGCAACAGATCTCACATCAGAAAGCAAATCAGCGAGCATGTGTCCCGATAAAGGGAAAAACTCGAGAGACATAATTCGGAAGCGGGACGGTTCTTCCAAAAAAAAGCCGAATGGCTCGAAGCTAAAAACTTGGTTACATCGTGCACTACACTGAGCTACCGCACAAGAAGACGTGCCCGAGGAGCCGGGACCAACAAAAGCTGTGGCGGACACACTTCACTGACTGAATGATAACACAAGGTTTGAACTTGTATAGTTCACGTGGAGTGCGTTGCGCAGAAAGAATTACCGGGAGGACCCCGGATTGATCGGGGAAATCTCCTGGAGATGATTGAAGGAGAGCGAAGGAGGAATGAGCCTCCGTTCGCTGAACCCCTGGACAAACTTCACGAGGAGCTCTGATGCTACCTCGTGACCGCGATTCTCGATGATGATTGATTGTCTCTCATGTCTGCTGCTGTCGCCGCTGTCGCCATTGTGGCAACCACAGTGTTTTCAACGTCTCTCGACCGGCTGTCAGTGAAACAGCTGATGCGGAGCAGCTGACGTTCAGCTCTGGAGAGGCCAGTGCTGCGCCGGTTGACGTACCTAGGTGGCGGCGCACCCCTCGGGGATTTATTCTGGTTTAAACAGGACTGCTCGTCCTGGACGGGTATTATGGATAAATAATTACACAATGATTGAGATGCTGGAAGGTCCCCACGGTTAGACTCGATCTCCGCTGTGCTTGATGTGTGCTGATTGTTTTGTCTAGTGTATGTGTGTGTCGTGAACGTGTGCAAGCTTGAAGACGCGACGGCAGCTCCGTCCGTGACACGTCCCCCCCCCGAACTCCGCGTTCTCCAGAGGAACCCGGAGTTCTTAAGTCGGTCACAGCCTTGGGTTGCCACATGCTTCACGGTTTTGACTTACGCGCCGCCTGCCTCTGCGATCTTAATGCCCTCTACCGGGATCCTCTGTGACGAGCGGTCCGCGCGGTCTTTGCTCATTCTCGTGAGTCGTTGAACCGAACAATGACGTGCCTTTTAGCCGCAGATTTTGAGGATCGCACGCCCCTTGGGGTCGTCAAAACCTTGTTGTATGTGACGGAGCCATACTTCTACCGTTTCTGTGCCCGCGACTTTGATTACGTCGCCCGTTATTATTGGTTTGACTTGACTGATGACGAACAGGAACCGTTTCGACGATACGTCTGTCTGCTCCGGAAAACTGGTGGAAGAACGACTCAAAGGCACCCCCCGCTGCCGCGTATACTGAAGTACCAGGTACCCTCAATCCCGTATGCGTCGAGGTATTTGTACCTTGTGCATCGAGACTTTCGTGGCGGCGTCCACAGCGTAACGCTCAAGCCGGGTGAAACGCAGCTGAAGGGTGCGTCCCCGAGCCTTGAGACCGTGGCCGAAGAAGTCTGCGCCGTTCAGCGACGGAAGGAAGACCTGAGGAAATACGCACGAGCTTCCCCAGAAGACATCCCCCCTTGGGAGCGGAAGCCGCACCCCCTCGACCCGCACACCGGGAAGGAACTCCCGCCCGGCGTTCCTCGGCCTAGGGCCACCTTCTGATGCGATCTCTCGCTGCAGCATATGGGCTAGTGCTCATAATAAATTTGATTTGATAATATGCACTGATATGGTTTTGGTCTTGAGTCTTGGGGAGAGGGGATCTAATTTGTGGCTGAGGTTGCGATGAGTTCCCTGGGTGCATCGTCTATGGGGACTCGATCTAGGGCTATGTGGTTCGATTGATAAGTTTCCAAGGGGTATAGCTTCCTTATGGGCCGATCGAGAGTCTGGCCGGTAGCTGTCCTTATGGTGCATGATCTCGCGTTTTCAGGCCTTGAATCGTTTCTCAAAGATATGACCCTACACAAGGGCCAGTAAGCCCGATTGGAGTTCGAGTGCTCGAGGAGGCAGGTGTCTCCCGCTTTCAGCGGTCTGGCCGCAATCGGCTTCCGCCTATGAGCGGATCGACGAGAGCCAAGGTACTCTCCCTGGTATTTTTTCCAGAATGCGTTGAGGATTTTTTGCTGGTAGTTCCATCTCCTGGAGAAAACGACTTTATCAGCGTCGATCGCTCTGATCGGCCTGGCCGCGTGTTGAGGGAAGAAGCATTTTGCTTTGTAACCGTACAGCAGATCTGCCGGACACAGAGCTTCTGCGTTGTCGGTTTCCGCCGCGACCGCTGTAAGTGGACGTCTGTTTATCATCGCTTCAATGTTACTCAGAATGACTTCGAGATCGCGGAAGTGCGGTACCGCGGTACCGAGGGCCTTCCTCAGCGGTCTCTTGACCGACTGTACTTGGCGCTCGTAGAAACCACCGAACCAGGGAGCCTTCGGGGTGATGAATTCCCACCTGATGAATGAATCTCCGAGCCATTTTTTGATCTCTCCATTCAAGATGTGGTCGTGAACAATTTTAGCTCCTTTGCCGCTCGCTGAAAGGAGAGTCCGTTGTCGGAGATGATGGTGTTGACCAATGGGTATCGGTTGACGAACTTTTGTAGTGCGCCGAGTACCTCCACTGTAGACATGTTTTCTGTTAAGTGAAGATTGAAGGCGCGGGTGATGGCGCATGTGAAGAGAAGTATGTAGCTTTTCCCTTTTTCTCCCGAGTCCTTTTTATACTTAATGGGTCCCGCGAAGTCGCATCCTGCATAGAAGAACGGCGGGGCCGTGTCGACTCGGAAGGTCGGTAACGGAGCTGTGGGCAGCGATGCTGCCTGGCAGCGAAAGATATTACAGGTTGCGCAGGCCGAAATCACTCGCCTGGCAAGTTTCCTCGCGTGTATGACTAGGAACTCTTCCCTGAGGATATTTAGGATTGACGAAACGCCACCGAAGTGGAAACATTTCTTTTCGTGAATATAGCGGATCATTAGGAAGGACAGATTGCAGTCCGGTCGGGGAATAATAGGTGACTTTTGACTGTCTGAGAGCTGGGAAGAACATTCGAGTCGGGATTTGCAACGGATCAGGCCGTTGTCGTCGATGGATGGGCTGTACTGATAGAGGATGCTCTCTGGCTTGATGTTCCTGCAAGCTGACAGGATTCCCTCTGTGAAGTAGCTTTTCTGAATAAGTTTAATTAATTCCAGCCTGGCTGTTATCATTTCCTCTGGATCGATGAGATTCAAGACGGTTTTCGGTCTGGCCGTACACTTGTTCCCCATCTGCACTCTCATTTTCGCCGATTGAGCCTTTGCTTTGAGGCGAAGCATGAATGCCCAAAAGCGAATCGCTTTTAGCCAGCAAGAAAAACTGTCTTCAAAAAATATTCTTTTCGCATTGGCCTGGTCGGCCGGAAGCGCGACATGGAACGTCGCTATGTATTTCTTCCTTTCGTGCTCGAGTTGAGTTTGATCTCCGTGAATGTGAGATGTGCGATCGGATTTCAGTTTCGCTTGTAGGACGCTGTTCTTCTGGCGAAGCCACTGTGGCCCGTTGAACCACAGCTCGGCAATCGATCGCTTTGAAATATCCGCTCCTCTGGATAGGATATCGGCTGGATTTTCCTCTGAGCGAACGTAATGCCACCTGGCCTGGCCAGCTAATTGATGAATTTTTCGAATTCTGTTTGCGACAAACGGTTTCCATCTTTCCGGGTTCGAGGCGACCCAGCCTAGAACTGCCGAATTGTCACAGAAGATGTTGACGGCGTCGATTTTGAAATCGAGCCATCCGAGGATTTTCTTCGTCATTCTTGCTGCGAGAAGTGCTCCGAGCAACTCTAGTCTGTGGATCGTAAATGCTTTCACGGGAGCGATTTTTGATTTCGAGAGAATGAATGCCACTGAGGGCGGGGCTGCCCCTTGCTGTTCTCGGATGTATGCGACGATGCCGTACGCCCGCGAACTGGCGTCGGAGAACATGAAGAGTTCTCTCCTATCCCGGCTGCCCTGCGAAGGCAGCATGTGTCGAGGGATGGCAATACCTTCAGCCTGGCTGAGTAACTTTGAGAAATTCTCGTATCGTTCGAGCAGGTCCCCTTTCAGGGCGTCGTCCCACCCGATTTTCTTCTTCCATAATTCTTGGAATAGCGATT